GGGCCTAGACCTTTCTGAAGAAGGGTCTAGGCCCGAAACGTCAGCCTTCCTGCTCCTCTGATGCTGCTTGGCCTGCTGTGTTCATCCAGCTCTACATCTTGTTATCTCAGATTCTCCAGCATCGGCAGTTCCTGCTATCTCTGGACCCCATTTAATTTCAGCAGAAAGACCTCAGACAATGATCTTTCCCTATTGTGCCTTGGCGGCAGCTGCCAGAAATTCGAAGAGAGCAGCCTGCAGGTGAACCCTATTTTTATACCTGTTTGGATGGGTTTCTGGAACTTTCTATAGTTGTGGCCTATCAAGGCGACTCACTTATTAGTTTGAAATGTCTGCTGTTTGGATGGCTTGCTACTGTTTGTTTCTTTGTGCAGCAGGACCCAGTGCCTTTCTGTCTGGGCCCTCTTTTGTTTGGCAAATAAGTTATTGTGCCAATTCAGGATAACTGCTGTCTTTTACATTATGCTAATGGTCATTAGCTCCTTGGCTGCTGTGTTTGCACTGTGTCTGGGTGTGTGGGTTTTGTGATTTCAGAGTTTTACTTGGCCAATGTACCCAGCATCCCTTATTTTTGGCCAAGTTAGCAATCTACCTCTATTTTAGCAGCCAGGAGGCTGCAACACCCAGACAGTTACTCAGTTCAAAGTTTATTGGGGGTGGGCAACAAATGCTAGCCTGGCCAGAGACTTCCACTTTCCATGAAAGAATGTTTAAAAAGTTTCCATTTGTACATTTGAGTGTACATATGACAATATAAACAAGGAACAAGAGCAGGCCACTCAGTCCTTTGAGCCTGTTCTGCCATTCAATAAGATCATAGCTGATCTGATTTCAAACTCAACGCTGCATTATTACATATCCCTGCTGATCTTTCATCCCCTTAATAATCAAGAATCAATCTACCTCCACCACAAAAATATTTAAAGATTCTGTATCCACTGCATTTTGAGGAAGGGAATTCCAAACACTCTCAACCCAGGATTGATTCAAGCCTTGTGTGACTGTGTGAAGTTTGCACTTTCTCCATGTGTGGGTTTCCACACCACAGTACTGTGCAGTCGAGGTGGATTAGCCATAGGAAATGGGTCGTGTGCAGAATAAGCATTGGGTGGGGAAGTTTGGTCTGGGTGGGATGCTCTTTGGAGGGTCAGTGTGGAATCAATGGGCCGAGTGGCCTCTTTCCACACTCTAGGGATTCTATGTAAAATTAATTCTACCTGTTTCAGTTCAGTTGAGGGCCTAGAGTAACAATTCGTTCCAAACCAAGTGGTCACGTGCTTCACAGAGGCCATGGGTCAGCTGATGAGGATGATGGTGTGTTACAGTAAAAGGAGTACTTCTGAGGTTAGGGCCTCTGTTGGGTCAGAATGGGAGGGAGTTTTACTCTAACCATGCATTAAGTACTGCAGATGCCAGAGATCCGAAATAAAAGAGAAAATTATTTTTCCTCATCTCTGTCTTAAATGGGTGACCCCCTTAATTTTAAATTCTGACACTTAGCTGTAGAACTGATGTTTACCAGTTACATGGAAAATTATCCTAGTGAGTGAGTAGCCCATGCTATAGTGAAAGCAATAAGTGGCAATGCACGTCAGGCTGTTAACTCATTCCAAGCTTGTTTTGCCATGAAGGGATTTAAGAACAGGAACAGTAATTTTCAATATTAATTGAAGCATTCAGGACACAGTCGACAAGTGAGCGACATCTGGTGTAAGGAAATGGGAATCGGTTTTGGATGCCATCAGGTTTTCAGAGGATATAATGCAGCAGTTTATAAAAACATCGAAGATAAGAACAGGAGTAGGCCATTCAACTCCTCACCTGCTCCAGCATTCAATATAATCATGGTTGCCAGGAGTGATTTGGATTTGAGCCTAGAGGGTAACAAAGGTTTGGATGATGGCTTTGGCAGCTGATGAGCTAGGTCAGAGTTGATCAATGTTACAGAGGTGGAAACATTACGGAGGCATATCTGGAAAGCAGCAATATAATTATCTGATCCGTATTTTGTAGCATTTCTAACCTGCTGTTTCCCGTGGATAACAAATCTATTGTATCACTATTATCACACATGGCTAAGATTTTGCAATTTAAGCGCCAGCAAGTGTTCCATAATTTTTTTCTAACATGCCTTTCTTCAGCACATTCAGTAGCTTTTAAACCATGCTGTCTGAATTCAATTAAGATGCACGTCTTTTTCAGCCTACTGGCTTTCAAGAGGGCCACGTGAGGAGGCATGGTGGCTCAGTCGCTAGCATTTATATCTCACAGCAACTTGCACCCAGGTTCAATTCCAACCTTGGATAACTGTGTGGAGTTTGCACATTCTCCCTGAATCTACATGGGTTTCCACCCACAGTCCTGTAGTGTCCAGGGATGTGCAGGCTAGGCGGATTAGTCATGGGAAATGACGGGGAGTGGCAGTTGGGTCCGGGTGGGATGCTATTTGGAGGGTCAGTATGAAATTGATGGGCCCAATGGCCTCTTTCTGCACTGTAGGGATTTTGTGTAAAATTAATTTTGCCAGTTTCAGTTCAGTTTTTCGGCCTATAGTAACAATTTGTTCAGAACCAAATGGTCATGTGCTTCACAGAGGTCATGGGTCAGCTGATGAGGATGATGGTGTGTTACAGTAAAGGGAACTTTTCTGAGGTTAGGGCCTCTCTTGGTCAGAATGGGAGGGAGTTTTACTCTAACCATACAATAAGTACTGCGGATGCTGGAGATTTGAAGTATTGGTTCATAGTTCCTTGAAAGTAGAGTTGCAGTTGGTCAGGATAGTGAAGAAGGCGTTTGGTATGCTTGCCTTTATTGGTCAGTGCTTTGAGTGTAGAAGTTGAGAGGTCATGTTGCGGCTGTACAGAACTTTAGTTAGGCCAGTTTTAGAATACTGCATTCAATTCTGGTCTCCCTGCTATTGGAAGGATGTTGTGAAACTTGAAAGGATTCAGAAAAGATTTACATTGCCGGGATTGGAGGGTTTGAGCTATAAAGAGAGGCTGAATAGTCTGGGGCTATTTTCACTGGAGGGTCAGATGCTGAGGGATGACCTTACAGAGGTTTATAAAATCATGAAGTGCATAGATAGGATGAATAGCCAAAGTCTTTTCCCCAGGATGGCAGAGTCCAAAACTAGAGGGCATAGGTTTAAGGTGGGAGGGGAAAGATTTAAAAGGGACCTAAGGGGCAGCTTTTTCACGCAGAGGGTGGTGCGTGTATGGAATGAGCTGCAAGAGGAAGTGGTGGAGGCTGGTACAATTACAACATTTAAAAGGCATCTGGATGGGTATATGAATAGGAAGGGTTTTGAGGGATATGGGCCAAATATTGGCAAATGGGACTAGATTAATTTAGGATATGTGGTCAGTGTGGACGCGTTGGACCAAAGGGTCAGTTTCCATGCTGTACAGCTCTATGACTCTATGACTGTATAAACAGACAGGGCTAGAAATATGCAGCAGATCCGGCTGCATCTGTGTAGAGGGAAATTCCAAGTTATTGGAGAATAGAATTCTGAAGGAGAGTCAGACCGGACATGTAACGTTACATCTGTTTCCCTGTCCACAGATACTGCCAGACCTTGCTGAGTTTCTCCAGCACTTTGTTCTTATTTACCCGAACTGTACTTAGCCTGCAAGTGCTTGGCTTTCGGAATCTGTTTAATTCATTCATTTCTGACTGCAAGCACCTCCTGAATGCACCAAAAAAAATGCAGGTATTAACAAACATTCTAATGTGTTAAAAGAAAGTTAAAATGTAAGAAGTCTAAATGGCCAATTCAAACTGAAGATTCTAGAAGGAATAAGCCAAGATGCTGGCAATATTCATTAAATCTACTGAGAAACGGGATGTAAATAATTTGGGAAAATTATTCCAAAACTTGGATCAAGTTTGCATGGTTTAATGTTATATTTGGATGCAGAATCCATTTGTGATAAATAGGAAATGAACAGTTCACTGCAATAATAAACTTGAATCTTAATTATTAAGTATTGAGTCTAAAGTCAGCACTGTCATCAAATCTCTGAAGCGTTTTCGGTTTTAGTTTCAAAATAAGGTTGTTCATTCCTTTACTGTCACTTCAGTCAGAAGTTCCAGTGTTGGAGTGGCAGGTTTCTTGCTTAGCTTCCTGGTCAGAATGAGTATCGTGCTTCAATGTTGGTCAGTTTGGCATGTACCAACCGTGGAGAGTTTTGTAAGCTCTACTGCCTAGCTTCTTGGTCAATACAGAAAAGATGTTCTATCCTTATGAACTGTAAGGAGAAAGGATAGAGAGAGTAAGAGAGAAAGAGGGAGCCAGCTCTATGTTGTCGTGCTTCTGTAAAAGT